TCAAAAAATACAAGGACGGAATCTAAGAAAACTTCTTAAGGTGCCCTAGTTCTAGTTTTCGAAAAATAAATGAATAGATAATATACACAACACATATTTATACATAAGTATGTCACACATATGTACATACTTCACATTTGTCATAAGTTTTAATATTATAATCGTCGAGATTGCAATTCTCCCATTTTATTCAATTCATCACCCTGTATTTAACTGTATCACTTTTTGTTTAACTGTATCGCATTGTATAACACAGAAATCGATTTTGTTTATTATACACAAACCACAATGTTTAATAAATCGGTATTTGCGGTGTGCTATAAACAATTAACATGCAAACGGTTTTTAAAAATTACAAAATAATTGTTTATCCAATTAATGGACCAGAAAATTGCACACTCATAATTATTTTTAACTCAAAAATAAATGCATTTTGAAGATGGTGTTGCGGAAACAGTGTGCTTAAAATTAATAATCCCAAAATAGGGACAATTTTGTTATTTTTGTTATTATTGTAGAACAAACAGATCAAAGGAAGCCATAAAAAGTTACCGTGCTTAGTATAAAAAAATACAGATCATTTTGTTTTGTTTTTCGAACAGGCTTCCTAAACCGTCGGTCTATTTTATGAACATATGGTCTGAAAAAAGAAACTAAAAATGATTATTTACTTTCGGCATTATGTCTTCACTTCAGCATTAAACAATAAATGAATTAATAATAAAAAGAGTAAATAACGCACCCACATCGACAATATACAAACTTTTAACACAATTGCATTTAAAAATGAGACCAACCTTTCTTTTTTTTCCGCAGTGAAAATCTAACCGACGTCCACACAAACGCTTTGCTCTTAATCTTTTCCGACTCCTTGACGAAGATGTCCAGGTCGCTTGCAAACTTGTACTTTTTACCCCCGACTCCCATCACGTAGTTTTCATTTACGTCCGTCAGACTCTCATTAAATAGAGACGCGATACGGTGCAGCGGACCCATAAATTATTCTTTCTTTCTTTTTTTAATAAAAAATAAAATGTACCATTTGTTTTCTCAATATTATATTTTATATGTTTCAACTTTTATTGTCGCGTTTCGTTCATTTTTTTTTTGTTTGTTTAATTTATTTCATTTTACGGAAACGCACTTCCTGCGACACTGCACACTACGACACCGGTCTAAAACTTTAAAATAGTACACCGCTTTCGGTGTTGATCAGTGAATGAACTACAAAACGAATGGTTGCTTCAAGACGCTGGCTGGTAGACATTAAAAAACTTTCTTCGTTGTTGTTCTACCTGTTCAGTTATTTTGTTCTGTCGCACACTTTCTATGGCGCTCCGCCCCGCAAGTACATAATAAGCAATTCGATAAGACATTTCTCAATTAGCGTGTTTAATAAATGGAATGAAGGTGCACGAAACCGAAGACAACCCAAACGCCTATCCACTAATTAATTAAATGCAGTTTAAAAAATACCGATAGCTAGTCAAGTACATTCTTATTTCTGATGTCAACTTATACAAGGGCCATATTAATAGTGACTTGTTTATTTTTCTACATAATCGCCAGAATGATTAACACATTTGTCTCATTGTGACAATGACCCCTTCCTTGATAGCGTTCTGATCAAAGTATTGTCCACCCAACCCTGCCTTCAATTACTGCCAGGAAATGAAAAACAATATACGGTGGATGACAGAATTGACTTGAGTTGTTTGAGAAGGTCTGTCGTTATGTTGGCACAATACGGTCCTGCATTGTCAAGGATGAAAAACACGATCATCTACTGTTTAGTGCTGATCTCGCAACAAGTGAGTTTCACTACTTTCAACAATCTTATTGAAGGCATGGATCGGTGGATAACGCTTTGCCACTAACGAAAAACTCCAAAACGCTTCAAGACTTATTGCCTGGCCTAGAGGCAAACTTTTATAAAAAGGATTGGAAAACAGCCTTCGTATGTTACCTTTAAGTTATTTCAACTAAAAACCAACCTGATGCATTTTCTTTTTTCTTCTTCGATGATAACTTTGTAATTATTTGGGAAAATACACTTTTTCCTTTTTTCTTCTTCGAGTTTTCGTTGGATTCGTTAAATTCCGCAACGTCCGAAAACATCATTTTATTTTTATAGTTATTTAACAGCTCGAAACTGACAAAATTTCGAAAAACCACACGAATTAAATAAATTGACACCAATAACAGTCGAAATCTTTTACAATCTTTCAATGTTTCTATAACTTTTTTTGTGAAAAGTTATCCAATTTATAAATGTCAAGTCTTTACCTACATTTGTAAATCAGGTTGACATGATCGCGGCCCGTTTCCCTCAATGCCAAATTTCCCTGACGTTTCCCGGTTATCCAGATAATATTTGTTTTTCCCTAACTAAATAAATAAGAAAATAATTTTAAGATACTCATGGAGTTAAAAAATCTCTAATTTCAATCAAATTTTTTTAAATATTCAACTTCAAGAAGAAAAAGTTAATAAACTTGTAAATACGGTGGAACTATTATTTTTCAAAAAAAAAAAATATATAAACACCCTTAAACAATTAATTATTTTCAATCGTATTTTTATACTGCCTTTTTTCTACAGTACGTAAATATAACGTCACGTGGCAAATAAATTTGAGTGAATGTCTTTTCTATTGTTTTACTAGAAGGCAAGTCTCGGTTTCGTGTTTTTAATTTTTTATTTTGCGCTCACCAGCTATAGAAATATATAATTAAATAATCACGCCTAATTTTATTCACCATATACTTTTAATGCCAATTGTTATATCTACATAATATGAAACAATTTCTAACTGTCACTTACTTAATAACTTTCATGCAACGTACTTACTTAATCAAAAAACCTAAAAAAAAAGTGCATTTTTACATTCAGTCATTTCCAAGTGTCCAGCTGACTGGCATACGTCTGACGAAAAGAAATGAAATAATTAAGTTAGAAACCTATTTAATATCTGTCTAAATATCTCTAAGTAATTAATGAATAACCCTTCTTTAGTTGGTTGTAACAAACAGAGTGGAAAAGATTTGAAAATTTCGAATTCTGTTTGTGCTCATCTCATTAGTGCAACAGAAGAAGGACGACTACGACGACACATGTCCAACAAGTCAGCAGTAAAAGTGCACCCTGCTGAAGCTACCAGTACTAATTGCCTTTTACTTTTCAGTAAAAAATATAATAATCAGAGAGAATGCTTATTAAAAAGAGAAAAGCGGCTCGAATGAAAATCAAAGTGCACGTCGTCTAATAACCATCAGGCATCTACCTACAAACCATCACAAACTGAGCAGTATATCATCTGCTACATATAAAAGTTGACGCACATGTACAAACTCTATGGCTGCTGGCCATTTGATTCAAATTAGTGTAATAAAGTAAGCGTGGCACACATATCGTTTTCTTCTACACAAATAACAGAAAAAAAAAAAAGAATAGCGATGCACAAGCTTGATTAAGAAGGCCGACCAAATACTGCTGATGCATAATGTTCAAAAATGGCAAGAGTATAGTACCATTCTTTATCGAAAATTGTTTTCACCTATTTTATAATACATAATGTACATATTATTATTTTCTTACTGTTTGATCTAATTTTAATTTAAAATTGAAAGAAGTCAATAAAATCGATCGACTTCATTTGTATGTTGTCTTCAAAGCCTGAAAGTGTATTTTCTCTTTACAATCAGAAGCTTTCAATTTCTACCGCTTTTACGATCAAGAACTCTTCATTACTATCACATTAATATGTACAACACATTTACATCCTGACACAGTAACACCAAACAATAACAACTATCTATCTCATGGACGCAATCATGAACATTTTATTTTTCTAGTATACTTTACGAGGACTTCTTAAAAAAAAATGCACTGTTACCTATTTTGCGCTACTTTGTGGTTTAAAGTATAAGAAAATAGTAATTAAATGATTCAAAAACATAAAGTATTGGACAGTTCTCTTTTTGAGTCGGTAATAAAAATTTTACAAGTATAACGTTAAGAAGAATGTAAACGTGGAAAGTTAATGTGCGATAGGTAGGTAATGAATTAAGAATGGAAATATGTTAGCAGTTAGAGCGGAAATATTCATAAATAATGGAATAAAAACTCACACAGTATGTATATGGGCAGCACTATCGCCTCAAATGGAAAATAAATGACCAATTGAACAAATCTAACAACGATAAGGAGTGAAGTCAACCTCTATCTTCGTATTAAATAAATATTAAACAAAGTTTCTCTTTTAAAAAGAAAATCTAATCATGTCCTTTTAGTTTTCCTTTTCCTTAACATTGAAATATGAAATTGATCGATTTGTAATTTATTGTACTCTTCTAGTTTATCGTTACAATGATTAAAAAAATAATCGAAGAAGAAAAATCAAAAGTGACCAGAAAATTGTTTGAACAACTTTAAGATACCAAAACTTTCAGCATACAACGAAAGTCCCACTAACTTTCCGATTGTACAGATCAATTTTTCAATTTTGTTTTTCACAATTAATTAGACTGTATAAAATTAATTAATTGACAAGAGAAAGATCAAAACATAGTTTGCGATTATGTTGATGGCAAGTAATAATAATAATAAAGAAAGCCCTTTCATTTCGGTCTGGCGGTCAATAACATTTGCAAACAGTGTGTAGGTGAAGAGCCTTTAGAGTGTCACCTTTTTATAGTTTATGAGACACATTTACTTTAAACAATTCCCATCGAGAGATAGTTCTATTCTCATGCCTGCCCAATATGGCTGGGCCATGAATGGTGGTTAAAGATTATAACTTAAATAAAATTATCTTAAAACCAATCTACCAATTCATATATTCAGAGACAAAGTCACTGAAATTTACGCAAAAGATCTTCTTGTTTCTGTTTTTAAAAAAACAAAATAACGCTCTTACTTCAAAATAAATTTAAAACCGATCAAAAGATTCTCCGCAACACAACAACAAAATTAAGAATTGCTACAAATAAAAAACTCACCCTTTGAAGGCACATTTGGTGGTGTTTTCTTGTCCTTAGGTAAAAATACTGCCCTTCTGGTAGCTGCTTTGGTGTCACTGTTAGCGTAAGAAATTGGAGTTCTTTTAACTGTAACAAAATTAAATAAACTTTTTACTTTCCACTAATTTCATCGACTAAAATTATTTTGAAAGTTTAACTTTTATATAGGCAACTCTTTTAACACTACTGCACGAATGCAGGTATACGTTAAAACATTCTAGTGTATGTATTTGAAAGCAATTAATAAAATAAAAAATCAATACGTAAATTAATAATACACTATTCCTTACTTTTTTACCTTATTGTTCCACGTATAACCATTAATTTTTATATAGGGTATAGGTATATATATATTTTTTGCTTCAAATAAATACACCATAATTAAATGTCCAAAGAGTATCTACTAAATTAAATTAATCACATAAACCTAAATTCACCAACTATTTAATATCTATGATAATAAATAAATTATAAGTGTATTACTTATGCAACCAATCAACCTGCTCTGTAAATTTGTAGAATACACTTCATTAATGTATTTTAAGCCAAACTGAATTCTAATTCTATTTTAAGGAATGCTTTAGCAAATAAAAAACAAACTAATTAGTCGATTGAGGACAGATGTTAAAGACGACCGCGTAGCAGGTGAGACCCACCTGTAAATAAACTCGTTTCCTGCCTTAAATTAAGAATATCTAAACATTAATTCTATATTATGGTTTCTAAAACTTTAAAAACTTTTTTATTTCATAATTTCGATGCAAAGATAACAGGACTGATGCAAAAGTACATCACAAAAAAGTGAAATGCTTTAAAAAAGTTTTTAAATAGAATTTACAAATTATATTATTGACTACTTCGAGGGTTTTTTTGAAAAAAAAAATATAATAGTAATTACATACCTACTGAAAAATGAAATGGAAGGATTAGTTTAATACTTGAATATAAGAAATGTAGTGTATTAAGAATATGTTAACGAAGATGTATTTTCTTTTTGTAAGCAATCTTCTACTAAACACATTTAAATCTAATTTGTTTATGACATTTAAAATATTTCCGGGTAATTTTTCAATCAGTACAAAACGCATATTTTTAGATGACCAAACTGTCTACATACATACATAGTACATGTATCTATTTTTAATCGACTTGACACTTACTTTCATTGGCTGCGTTTTTGTGAAGACTACGGGGAGATATCTTGGAGGTCGTCAGGACCTGTGTTACTCTCGCCACTTCTCTCTTTTTACCGGAACCTGAAACAAAAAAGAAACGTTATTAAAATAAACCAAAAAAAAAAAAAACTTTCAAAAAATTGTGATACACCGAAGTCAAATACATTGAGTATCTAGGAAGTATTTAAAAACGGTTTCCAGATTCCATAAATAAACAGATATTTCGTTAAAAACTTCAAAGGAAGTTTTTCTTAATATACTCGAGCTGTAAGGTTCATTAAAGGTGCAAAGACTGAAAGCATCATTTCTTAATCTCCATTATAACCATTTCCACTTTGCCTTTACTTTATGCACACCTATTACAAAAGGAAACTACTTTTTACACTGCAGTCGCTTTCCGGCCTCTATTCTCACGCAGATGTAATTGCATCACATCACATTCGTCTCCGAGTTAAAACGGAAACGCGATCTCCAATTTCGTCAGACAACAACAATCTGATGATATTGTCATTATTGCACGATATTTAACACAGTTCGAAAAAGGGCCAATTAAAATAAGAAAAAATCCTAAAAGATTTTTGATAACTTCTGCAACTGACTCTCAGTTTACCTTTTCCTTGATTTTCCAATATATACCTGTGTATTATAATACTTACGTAATTCACGTTTGCATACATTATGCAGTTCTTCCTCAAGTTTAAAACATATAATTAAATATATTTGCGGGCAATCATTATCTATAAAATTACTTCTTAATTAATGCATAACAACACAAGAGCGGCAACAAAATTACCTAATAATCACGACGATCTTCTAATTATGTTCTGTTACATCACCTACAATTAATAAGAGAAAGCACAATAACAATAGGTAATAGAAAATAATTGTTTTCTTTAAGTGTTTTTTAGCGATAAGGTTTTTCATAATGTCGGAAACATAATAAACAAATGTGTGTACACAATCCCCGATACACTATTAGTTAAGAAAATCAAAAGAAATAAGCGTATCAATTGTATTCTTGTACTAAAAAATTAGTGACATTTAAAACCATGAAGTAAAACACTCAAGTATGCTGTTTGTGACCTTCAGATACAAGTATACAGAGGTAAGGTACAGGTAAACGACAAAATAAGGCAAACTAAACAATAGATAACATTGTGTTTTCAACTCTTGAGTATGCACTTATGTTTCTTGTCAGAAACGCGAATAATACAATTATTGCAAATCAGGTGCCTTTTTATTATTTTTTTATTATTATTAATTCACTAGTTTTTTAAAGTACCTACGTTAATATAAATAACAAAAACACATGCTAACATGTTGGTAAATGTTTAAACAAACGAAATGACAAGTATTAGAAATTCCTTCGAAAAAACTTAAAAGTTTCATACAGGATTTACAAAATTATTTTGAGAAGTACCAATAAGCTGCTAACTAAACTCACCATTTTTCCCATAACTTCCGTAAGTTTCCCTGCATGGTATTTTTGTAGGTCCCGAAGCAGAACGGGTCAATTTACCCTTGGAAGGCTGCTGCCCCATTATATTCGCCCCAATTCCTACTTCATCTCGTATCCATTACCGTTACTCGATTATTTTAATCGTACTATCACGAAAGCTCGTCAACTTTTTCACATTAATAACCGAAACACTACTAACATAGCGACATAAAATATTTTCGAATACTGACCTCATCTCCGTACACTTCTATCGAACGACCTAAGAAGCCGGTTTGTTCTTGTGTTAAACACACATAATATTAGAATAGAATGCGTACACAGCTGGTAAAGCAAATAGTAATGCAAATTGATAAAATTAACTGCCAATGCCAAACAGGACCAGAAAACGTTTAGATATCAACCTCTTATCTTATAATTTCGGTTATATCGGGTGATTATAATAGTTTAAGACGTTGACCAGATATATTTTATTTACTTGAAACAATCGTTTCGCCAAACATTAGCTTCATAAGGCTTAATTTCCGATATAACTTCATGTGCAAGCAAAATAGCCACTACTTTATATTATATGTTCATAAATAGTAACAATAAAAATAAGAAGCATTTACATAAATATTCTTTAATGGATAATGCGTTTAATGCTCCCGTATACGAGTAGAAATAACTAATGAAAAGATATTTTTGGAGTTACTAAAGGAAAAACGAATTTCTCTGATGTTTCCCTCTTCGAATCGATAGAAATAGATTGCCGATCGCAAACGACATAAAAGTGCAAATAAACTTGAAACATTATTAACCGTATCTAAGTTTGCTTGACAGAAACTCGCACTTAATAAATAAAACTAAATATTAATTTTAACCGAAGTTTTAGAAAAAAAGAAATAATCTAAACGCAATAAACTTTATAAATAAATTGAGCTATAAGTAACTAGGTAATAAAGCAGACAAAAAAAGAACCCAATATATATTACGCCAGGATAACGATAGCATAAGGGAAAGGCTTCACAAATGCCAAAAGAATCAAAAACTGAAAATAGATCTACATTGGCGCATTTCTTTTCAAAAGAAGTCACGCATTATTGCAAGCAGCCGACGTACTAATTAGAACACTAAAGAAAATGCATTACAAAATGGAACTTCCGATTTCGAAACTATAACTGTGACTGTTAGAAGCAAAAACAGAAAACAAAAGCACCAGCAGTGCAATATATGTAACACAAATACATTTGCATACGTGCACAATGACGACAAGAATAGATTTGCAACAGGGATAATGAACTATAAAAAATAAAAACAAGAACATACTTATTCGATCACGAAGATCAAAAAAGCCGATATTTAGAATCAGTCAAGTTACCAATTTTCATAAAATAATTAGATTAAAATAGTAATTTTTCTTCTTTAATTAAATGAACCCCTGTTTACGCCAGCCCTGTAGTCACGATGGACAGAGCGATAGCATTTTTAACTAAAATACTAACTTTTAAAGCTTGACCATGAAAAAACAAAATTTTCTTAGCCCACAACTGGCACACCCTAATATGTGTTATATTATCCTTCGTTAATGTTAAAACCCTTGAATGAGCCTATTTGAAAGTCATTCATGTTTGTACTCTTTGGTATGCATGAGTACATACATTACAGGTACATAATAGTAGGTAATACTTATACGGTACATGTAATAAAAGAATCTTGCTCTTATTTGCATCTTGATATGGAGATGTGTTACAAACACATATTCATATATACAAATTCTTCAATGAACTGGACAACTAAAAACAGGTACCTCTGTACTTTAAAAAAAAGACTGCTATGCCATGGAAGGCAGACAACCTGTTACCTGTTGTTGCTGCAATTGGTACTGTGTAGGTACTGTTTACTTGCTGTACACTCATATATTAAAATTTAATATACAACTGACTATGTGGAAGTATTATACAACATACAGTCAAGTAACGGTTTGTAAGAACAAGAATTTGCAACAAGTGCCCCCACAGAAAGTAATCAACAATTGCCAAACTTCAACCTACTGTTCAAAAAAATATGTCGTACTTTATTAATTTGTACATAAACTCCTTAAGACAATTAGAATGTCTGTTTAATAATTAAATATTTAAATCCTTTAGTATCTTTTAATTACCAATCAATACACATGGATAAGTACCTTAGTAAATAGTTGCTAATATACTACACCAACTAGTACTAAATATGTTAAAAACATACTACGACACTACTATATTACTTCTGTTAAATTAATTTAATTAATTAAATTAAATAATCACGCCTAATTTTATTCACCATATACTTTTAATGCCAATTGTTATATCTACATAATATGAAACAATTTCTAACTGTCACTTACTTAATAACTTTCATGCAACGTACTTACTTAATCAAAAAACCTAAAAAAAAAGTGCATTTTTACATTCAGTCATTTCCAAGTGTCCAGCTGACTGGCATNTATATAAACAAAGTCGCTAATCATTCAAAAAGAATCTACCTATTGATTAATTTTTTAATTAATTAATAAACTACTTTAAACCGTAATTTATGCCTTACCTCAATATAAGATAATATACACCAATTCAGGCAAATTAAGAGCAATTCCAATGCGGATTATTGACCACAAACAAACTTACGTTTATTCATACAACAGCTTACGCCTATGAAATATGCAACCTTCACGACAAGAACGTAAAGCAAGTAGCATTTAAAAAGTTTATATTTCTTCCTTAAACAACCAAAAATAGGGCTTCCAGAAAATTTCTCGGCGTTCATTTAATAGCTTTCATTAATAGTTATCACTTTCACCTTTTAGTTTTACTCTAAAAATTAATTATGAAAAGATACAACGGTTCAAAGTGAGAGCAAAAAACATAGGCAACACATGTTACAATCATCATTAGAAAATAAAATTAATATAACAAACGTCTATAAATTTTGCCATAAAACATTATTAATATGGGTTTTAATTCAATCAGGCATATTTTTGAACAATTCTGGACTGTAAAAGGAAATCTTAATAAGCATTGTATTTACATGTACAATAAGATTGCTATAATTGCACTTGCAATAAACGTAATAAAATTTAGTTAAGTATTACATACTTACAGACACTTCGTACTAAAATAATTAGATACAGTTTTGTTAATTAAAAAACCACAGTGTGTAAAGTTATGCTTCAAAACCGAAGTCTTTCATAATTAATAACAATTTGTTAATGAGTATCTACGGAAATTAAATTAGTTAAAAAAAAATAAAATAAAATGAAAAACTGTATGAGCCATGTATACGATAGGTCACGCAATTTCTTTATAGCCATTAAAATGGAAAAGTAGAACACGACATCTTATCTAATACAAAAAAACTAATCACTTTTGTCAAGAATCAACGAATAATTTAGCAATCCTATTTGTATTTGTATTGCTTACGTCGACCAACTCATTTGTATGCGGTAATTGGATAATCAAATCAAAGTCAAAATGACACTAAGAATATCTCGCGATCTTAAAAAAACATTCTTTTGTTTGAATTATTAGTACATACATAAAAACTTGATCGATACACAAAATTCATTTCTACGAAGCATTGAAAATACACTCCTCCGGGAGACCTATTAGCAATTCGCAACCCAATTTCAACCCTCAGGTCCCTTAGGAAAACAGCATTTCCCCGGTGTGCTCATGCGCTTTTTAGAGGGGTAGCTCGATAAACCATCGCATGAATCATACGTTTGAATTGAACTCTTTCGTATTAAGGCTGTGGCACATTATTTGCGAAAGTAATTGATGATGACGAAAGGATTACAAAAAAAGTTCAAAAACTTCAAAATCCACGAATTTTTCACTTCACGATATTTAATAAAGTGAATAAAAAATGAAAATAATAAACGGTGACATGGGTGATCATTAGATAGAGTGCCTAACGAAGCGAATAACAATTTGCCGTTAGTTAAGTCCTATATGTATTATCATAATATACTTTTAGTTATAGTTATTAGATCAAATTGGCATAGATGAATTAACATTTGCTGCACAGTGTAACCGTTATTATTATAGAAGAAACAGTCGCTACGGACGCTAAGTATAATATAAGAATTATATTCGCAGTTTTATTTCCATTGTAGGTAGTTTATTATAATCATATAAAGCAATTTCTCAAGGTCCAATACGACCTAATGTTACGTATTTATTTAAGACACTTATTGTTGCGGTTTGACGTTAAAGATTGTCCTTAACAATAATTAATATGAATAAACTAGCACAGGACCGTAATAGGATTTTTCTGATCGCATTATGAATAAAGTTTGATATGTGCGATCAACAAAAAATGAAAATTATTCTTTTACAACTAAAGAAAAACCGAAAGGTATCTATATACTTAACTATTATAGGCACATTTAGCAGCTTCAAAAATAAGAATTTCGGATGTACCAATTTTTGAAATAAGGTTAACGAACGTGAATGTATATCTGGTCGCCGTCGAACAGGCAATTCGTCAAATTCAAAAAATAGAATTGACCCAATTACCATTTATTTCATAAATTCCGACCTTTGTTTACATAATATACAATTTTGACAATTTAAAATCAGTTATACAGTGAAAAGCTGAAACTCCAATTTCCAACTTTGTTTTATTTGTAAATATGATTGCATTTAAATTTAAACTCAATTTGTTGCAGTATAATTAATTACTTGTATTCGTAGCTCAGGAGAAGTTAAAAAAAAACTCTTTTCGTAATAAAAAGGGAAGGACATGTAGTTCCTTTCACATAATAATACGGTTAAAAACCATTATTTACCTGTTTCATACCAGCAAAATTATTTTATCATGTACTTAACCCGCTGTGTACAACGCCGAAAGCAAGCAATTTGATCATATCATGACATAAGGTAATTATTAAAGACACAATCCCAATCACAATTTTAACACTAACAAACAAAGTACACGACAGGTAACATTAATTATTATAAAAAAAGATACATCCAAAATAAGCCGCACGTGTTTTTTTTTTCTTTGGAACCACCGCTCAAAATAACCCACGGTGAACTTAGTCGCGTATTAAGCGCGACTCGCGACTCGCGATACTCAATAGAAGGGGAAACCACCGACGATTATAATACAAAACAATCCTTCCAGAAGCGGCATGCGTTCGTGCCCCTTCGATGGGCTTCGGCTACGGCTTTTAAAGACCCTCTGGTCGACAAAAGTAAGACAGAGTAGAAGCTGATACAGGATGTCCCAAAAGTAAATAACTTTTTTACCAATTTACACATTCATGTTAAAAAAGTTCAAGTCTATTAAGTATCACTGTTTCAAATGTCCTAAATAGTATTGCGAACTCTGAAGAAGTACACTGCAAAGCCCACGAAACGTGAGCACACTTGAGTGGAACCCGAAGAAAAATAAAAAAAAATACAATAACAAGAACTTGTGTCCGATTTAATAAAAGTAGGTACCTCCTTTTGAGACACTCTGTATTATTTGCTTGTATATGAATGTCGACGACGATATTACGGAAGACAAATTATGTTTAAAAGGTGAGCATGCGTTTCGCGAGATCCGAGATCTGTGATCTAAATCAGGAGCATCGACCAGCAACAATAACATTCTTGTTGTTTTGTTGTGGGAGGATTAATCCAATAAACTTGTGTATCAATCCGAATTTGATTTGATCTTATGCTCATTTGAAAGCACATTAATTGTTTAATCGTTACGATTAGTACAAATACAAATAGTATTGTAACTGTAATGCCTCAAAAGACAAAACACCTATAATTGGGTAAATTAATTTTCCACTACTAATTTTTCATCTTTTTTGCTTTTGTTTGCAAAAATAACTGTCCCATTCTCATGACAATTTAAAGACCCCAGTACGTACTTATATGTAAAGACTGAGCAGTGTTTTGTACCCTTCCTAAAGTTATGAAAGGAAACAGAGTTCACTACATCCGCTATAATTCGTGACCAGCCATTTAATGAACCCTCGCATTAAACAAATGCATTTCAGAATAAATTAATTTCTTTTTTGATCTGATACACTATACAGATACTTGTTCCACAATTTTTTTTGTAGATATAGTACTTGAAAACGACCAGACTTTTTTTCAGTACCTACTAAACTAGTTTTCCCAAAAAATATAATAAAATTAACTCACCAAGTGCTTTTTTGGCTGAGGATGCGTTGCTCAAATCACTAGCTGAGCTGTGGATGCTTCCCATTTTTTTCAATTTAGGACTTGAGCTGCTCTCCAACACCCGAGATCTAGTTCTTCTTCTGGAACAAGAGGAAATTAACAAACATAAAATAATTTTAGACATTTTTATAAATTAACATTCAATAAAACACTGGAAAAGTTTCACCAAAATTTAAGAAATAAAGCGTTAAAACTTACAATTTATTATTTGTTGATTTCTGGTTAACGTTCTGGACAACATTTTCCTTATTGAAACCATTGAACACTTTAGATTTGACGTCTTTGACTTTAGGAGAGTCATTTTGAGCCTTGGATATTTTGCTCATCACAGCGTCCCATCGGTTTACAGGTTTCCTAGTTTCGATCTTTTTAACGTTATTAATCACAGGTGCTTTAGTTTTCGGAGTCTTGTCATTTTCCAACATGGCTTTCACCTTGGACGTTACATTTCTCTTGGGCATCTTGAAGGACTTCTGGGATGTAGATTCCTTTCGGGAGGCGTGACTGGGAGACCTAGCATCTGGACTGGAAGCCGCACTAGATACTGATATCGACTTCCTTTTGGCAGGTGTTTCCATAGATCTGTTTACCGCATTTTTAGTTTCGACATTCAATTTATCATCTACACTCTTATTGTTGTTAATGTTATTATTTTTCGACATAAGAACGTGAGCGTTATTTTGACTATTACTAGATATCGATTTGGTGGAAGTATCAGAGGCTGTGGGAGAGACGTCTGTTCGGATTACTCTCGAGAGGCTTTCAGACGAATCGTCGACTTTGTTTGCCTCGATATCGGTAAATATCCCACTGGAGTCCATATTTTCGCGATTGTTTACATAGATATCGGCCGCTGCCTGCGCGTCGATGCCATAAAGGGTCCCGTCGATAATTTGGGCCCTCCTGTCACCCCTTACGTTATGCTCTTCGTGATTATCGGCGTCAGATTCAGTATAAAAGTCAGAATCAGTCATGGGATCGATGGCTCTCCTAGGTAATGGACGTTTAAACAATGGAGAATGGTCAGCACCTCTGCTTGCTGGTCTGGACATCTCTCCATCTCCTTGATATCCCGTATCAAGGCTCGTTATACTTGTTATGCTCATTATAAAGTTACTGGTGGTCGTTTTGGAGTGGCTGGGTTCGGTTTTGGGTTCGCTATCCAATGTAGGTGTGGGGTCGAGAGGGAGATCTTCTGGGGATGGGGTTTGTTCGAAACGGATCGTAGTGTAAAGTCTTTGTTCAGGATCTACAGGGTCCAGAGGAAGATCCATGTTCATTGTGGTGTCCGATTTGGTTAGAGAATTAACGTCAATTATGCCTAAGCTTAAGTCGTTTACTATACTTTGGTCACCGCCTTTTGTTGAGTCTAATGGATTGAGCTGTTGCTCGTCAATTATTCCCAGACTCACTGGACTAGAAACAAATTCCGCTTTAACGTCAGGTGTTAAAACGATAGTACAACTTTTCGATGTGCCGTCTTCGTTCGTTGTTTGCAGGAGACCGTCATTATCTTCTCCTTTGATGGTTGCGTTCAGCTCATGAACGCCTAAAGAAGAATTCTTCTTCGGTTGGTCTTTCGGCTCAACGAAACCACTGAAATCGGCCATTTGGTCTGGAGTCAAAATTCCCAGTGACTCGTCTAATTCCAAGGAGTCCCTCTTGTTGCTGTCCTCTTCTGCTGTAAATGTGTTGGTCACATTTCTACGACAACGTCTTCGAGGTGAACACTCGATATCGTTTTCGGAGTCCTTCTTCGGTGTTGAGTGAGACAATACGTTTGGTCGTGTAATATTATGAGTAAGTGAATCGTCACAGTAAGGATTCGTGAACATAAAACTTAGTCTCCTGACCGATTCCGCACTGTTACTTTCCGATTCTAATGTGTTTTCCCCACTGGAACTGTTACTTTCCAACGTCGCTTTGAGTATTTGTGCTTCTTCGTGCTGTAAACTGTAAGTGCCACGTCGAGTCTCGAGAAGCCGAAGATCTAATTCGTCTTTTGAGTAAGTTTTATCGACGGCCGTGTCATAATTTAAACAACTAATGAATGGATTATTGTTCTCGTAGGTAGCAGAAAGCGATGTGAACGTTTTGTCAGATCTCTCGGGTTGCAGAACGTACGCATCTTCAACTTTTGGTGCTACCCTTGTCGAATTGACTATGTCGGGAAAATTGGAGCATTCAGTGAAGTCGTTAAGGAAGGGATTGGTGTTGTTTTTGACGATTTTTGTAGTCGGAGGAGAGTTTGAAGATTCGGTGTGTGTGAGGTATTGTCTTTTCTTCGATTTATCTTTTTTTAAAGCATCTTCGATGCCGAAAAGAATACTGTGAGGTCCGGACTCCTTATCGCTGGGTGTATCTGCTAACAATAGGTCGACGAGCGCAACTTTTGTTAGCGGCGCCATCAAACCGCAAAGATTGGCGCAAAAGAAGTACCGCACACCCAGCACATGGCCATCATGTTTACCGATCGGACGCGACAACTCGATACCGCACCACACACCCGCGCCGAAATGAACACGACCGAAAAACCGCAAAACTCCTTCCTTGTCCTCGACACGCACTTTTTTACCGATATCTCTCTCGCACGGTTTACGCGATATTTCCGGCGAAACCGGGTATTCCAAGTTACTGCTGCTGAGTTGTTCCGGTTGCTGCAACGGAATTCGAGTTCTGAATATTGGAATCCCCGTTGGACCCTTATTACGCTGAAAATAAAAAAGGAAACATTTAATTGTACTACGTTAAATACATAAATCTATAGTTATTCTTATAAAATTACTTTACTAGTTCTTATTTAGTTGAAATAATTTAGACAATTCATTAAAATACTGTTCTATCCTTATTTCTTCAACAATTACATCACAGTTGCAAACATACGATTACACAAAACAAATTTAATTACAATATGTAGTAAATTCACTGTTCAACTTAATTTGCCAATATGATTATTAAAGTATATGATCTTCTGTCTTATTACTTTTGTAAAGTCCCCCGTATACTGAGAAGGAAAATAATAACACGCCTTGCCTGTATGCAACACCCAATACACTACTGCTACGATGAACGTATACAACAATCACACAAAACGCGATAAAAAAGTTAAAAAGTTTATTTGTAATAAAAATCGTTAAATGTTGCAAGTATAACGTGTTGCGTCTTAGATAATGTATTATAAAATTGATAACACCTAACAATGTTCTAAGTCATTAATGGCTTGCTTAAAATCGAAAATATCAGGATCTGACCCAAATATTGGATAAAAAAGTAACCCTGAAGAAATTAATCTTGCTTTACTATAATTTGAAATAGGTACGTACTAGTTTACAAGGTCCAATTTTTCATTAAGTTAATTACCTACTGCAGATTTTCAATCATCATTATGATCGACTAATACGAGGGAGTGTCTAAATGTTTTTATACGTTTCCACTCGGAACTAATACATTTAATTTAAGTTTTCAATCTAACTCTTTTTATGATATACGTCTATGCAATAAAATTAAATTAACACAACAGTATTAATTAAATAAAAGACGTCATGCACCATAAGTCGTACATTTCATATGAATATTTATCCCTCTATCTATAATAAATCTCCTGTGAATACAAATGTTCTCAACCCAAAAAAGTTTTAAATATTACAAAGCACAAGTCACGATTTTTTATACATGTTAAACCACAACAATTTGTCACTCAACAAACATGTCTGCAAAGTAGCCAAATAAAATTTGGAAATTTTTTGATTAGGAAGAAATTAACACTTTGAAGGGAGCCAGTTCAAAGCAAACCTGCTAAAAATATAATGTATAATGGAAACAGAACATCATGTAGTGTTTTGAAGGTCAACACTTTACAAACTTGAAATTAAATGAACAGGTATCGAATGAGAATGAGGAAAATCTACTTTTAACTGTGATACATACATGGTATGTAACTAAACGAATTTATTTATGAATAAATTTATAACATGTAAAGTTCTGATTTTACGTCTTAATTGAAAGTATAGCAGTTTTATGACACCAATTTGATTGGAATCTACTTTAATCATTTAATTTGTTTCTATTATATTAACAGAAAAAGATTCTATGACAAAAATCAATAATTCCTATAGGTAGGTACTTCGTCACCGACAAACAATTTCTTACAAACATTGTTTACGCTATTTTATTTGATCAATACAAGAAAATCTAGGAATTCTGAGTGTAGATTGTTAGAAACTTTGCGAAAATCTATAACCTTCACATTATTCGAAGAATAGTTTATAGATTTCCAGAAAGACTAATTGTTTCTTCAAATCAATGCAGTTATATCCCCATTGCCCTGTACGTTACATACACATATAGTATGTATATATTTTAGTTAAAGATAAAGGAATTAATGTTACTTGAAGACATCGACTTTAGATAAATTTAAATCATTCTGGACTGCTGGTATTAAATTAACTGCGTTTAATTTAGATTGGCAAGCACTACGACAATTTCTATTGCTATCAGCAAATCAATAAAAAAAACTATAGGAATTATAAAGATCAGAAAAAATGACAGAAAGTTAAAACGAAAATACCAAGATACTAAAATATACACAACTGTATGTATTGTAATAGTATTTTCTCCTGACAGTTCATTAAGATGAGTGCCTTCATTTCAAACCGGAAAAAGTCTATTTAAATAGAATTGACTAGACAAGAATAACAACAAAACAAAAAAATGAAAACTATCATACACATAGTACATGTAGATTTGTACATGCGATAGGAGAGCATGGGTCTAATTTAAATCAACATTAGTACAGCGGCTCCTGCTAAAGCCAAAAACGAAAATAAGAGCCTTTTTTGGAGTGTATTATTCCATCAAAGACGTACGTACTGTACCACAACTGTATGCATTTACAATATTGCCTACACCATTTAGGGTATCGATGAATTCAGAGTAGATTCACACAAATTGAAATAAGTATTGTGGCACAACATGTAATTGTATGCACGTGTATGCTTAGTAAATTACATGTAAAGGTGTGTAAGTCGATGATACCGTTTGTTGACACACATACAAGTAAGACACTGCGAAATTTCAAATAGCTAAATGCAAACTAGATGTAAATGTAATATAAATATATATCAGGGTGTGCTACCTTAGAACAATATTTTTTTTTTCATGATCTACCAACCTTAAATCTTCATATCTATTTCAGTCTAATTAACAACAGACAACAGTCCATTTTTGAAATAATAAGTCTGTTATCGAGAAAAACTATTCTAGGAGAATTTTTATTACTCAAAAACTAAGGTACTAACTTGTCAACTTAGCTTTCATAATCGCCAATCATCGCATTTCCCTAAATCCAGAACTACTCCTCTTTACTCCCGTTCCTGCTTCTACTAAGTTTCTGACTATTTTTAGCTTAAGTAATTGTAAAAAAATATTATTAAGGCAGGTATCAACCATTTTATAAGATTCTAATGATCTTTTGCTTATGCCAATCATAAAAATGTACGATGACGCAATAAGAAACAAAAAAATATGCTTATGTAGTTTTCGAAAGTGTTTTGAACTTGTAGCTGACACAAAGGATAACCAAAGACAGACGTAAGAAGCTTTAAAAATAAATCTGATTAAGGCAATTTTCTACAAACTTATTAGTATTATTTTTTATTGCATATTTAGTGAAATAATTTACTATAACATTTTCAATTTACCTACAACATATAACCAGGAAACATATTTTATTACAACCTATTATCTTAATTTATTAATTAGATCCCACCATTAATTTATTTCCTAATTTAATTTTATATGTATAGGTACACCTATGTAAAACTATTTAGAACACATTGCTTTTATGTTGCAGCAAGATTGACCTGTTGTCTAAATATTTATTGTATTTTAAAGTCATAAAATGTGCAGTAAAAATTTTACTATATCCGATAAAAACCCAACAGTTACAGTTAAATTTAATTAGTGCTCGAAAACATCAGATTGTTCTTAATGTTAATCCACTACAGCAAAATGGCCATATAGGTATACCATAACTCAGGATTACACATATACAACGTGCTCAAAGCACGAAGGAATTAAAATTAAAAAATATATTAGAAAGCAATTAACTTGACAAGTAATTTCATAAACTATAAAAATCAGAACAATTAATGCTCAATCAAAAAAAGTTATGATAAGAACAACAGGTAACCCGTTTAATAAACTTTTGATAAGGCTCAGTTATTTTATGGTTAATTGTAAACTTTAAATTTTATTTACCTACCTACATTCAAGATAGACAGAAAATTGACAATAATACCATTAAGTTAAAAGTACTTGAAACTTTTTTATCACAGTCACATAAAAAACCGTAGTCGTCGTGTGTAAAAAAAATTAATGAAACTTAAAAAATGTATCGGCGGTTATAGGTAATTAAAAACCTAATAATTTTTACGTAACATTAATTTCATTAAAATCTGTCACTCTGTACATTTCTTCCTTCTAATAAAAATTAGTAAATGGCTTGTGGGCAAAGATTTTAACTGGCGAAATTAAATCCCACGCGGTAATTAAATGCTTCAATGAATTAAAAATGCCTTAATGTATTGTTATTAGTCTCTCAGTATCAAAAACATACTTTAGTGATAACATATTATTCAAATTTTTTATACATGAGAATTATTTTATTGAGACGTGTTTTTATACCCTTTTCATCACCTGGAAAACAGGTTTTTTAAGATACAACTATGTTTTTTAAATAAGTTAAATAAGTAGGATGTTTCTTTTTTTTCTATATGCCTGATTAATTTTCTTTTGCTTTATATAATCTACCCACGTAAAGAAAACTATGTACCTTGCAAATTAGCCACCTATGTACCTACAAAACTTTCCAATTTCACCGAGAAACTCGGTTCTGGAGTTTAAATATTTGTTTACGTTTTCTAAATGGAAAAACAACCTGTAGATCTGCAGAGAAAAAAGTTACGAACAGGATATAAATTAGGAAATTACAGCCTTTCTGTTTATCTATTAATTTTATGTATTATTCGTTTATTATTCCCAGTAATACAAAACAGAGACGGGATAGACGACTTATTAGCAAAACGTCATCAACCTTGACACCGCAATATCCTGAGTGAAATTTGCATTTTTCATATATTATCTATAGTATATGACAAAGTACATTTTCTTAAACACATAAAAATTTATGTTTTAACTACAGAAATTACTAAAACTTGAACCTATAATGCATTTGTTTGGTGTATCATATCATTAAGTAACAATTAAAAAGGATTTTGTTTTTTTGCTGGATCATTTTGTTAAAAAAATACATGTATTAAATTGTTTAATATTCTACTCCTATTAGAAAAGAATCAATCAAAGTAACAAAAGTTCATCCTTTTAATACTCAATTTCGCAAACTGCATAGCTTTTTTACATCACTTACTTCAAAATTTAGAACTCTCTAAATCTCGTTTTCCCAAGCGATGATGCCATTACTTCACGCAATTATGTACATATCTCCTTGGAAATACAAAACAATTGCCTGTTATTAATAAAAACACAGTCACGAACGACAAATATCCACACGATTGTCAAATTCAAGTTGCCTTTCAATTGTTACTCAACAATCAGCAGCTCTCCGAAAACTTTCAATAGTAATACCGAATAAGCGATTAAAGGGGAACCACTGAAACATTCTTATTACAACAATGATCAGACGCAAGGCTGATTTTTTACAGAAAAAACTGCGCTTCTTGAAAGGATGCGCTATAAGCTATAGCCGGTAAGCAACTAACTGATAAACTATGTTGGCGAAGCTTTCTGCACAACTATATTATACATGATACCTACATGGCCGGTTTCCACACATCAATCGACCAACTTATTACGATCTGATAGATCATCATATATTTGATTGTGTGTATCTATACGCAATTATAACGCGGACCTGTCCATGTACAACTCGTTTTAATTAACCGCAAACATTGGTTGGTTGGAAATTCAATTACGATATTTAATAAATAGGTACCTTACAAACAATTTTTGAAAAAGTCAAATAAATAAGAGTAGATATCCATTAAAACATTAATTTCAAACAAATATTCACAAAAAACCTTGAAAGGATGTTATCTATTAAGTTACATACTGTATATAATGATAAGAAAACATTCTATGGTTGATATGAGCTTTGGTGCACTTTCGTTGTTAAATAAAATTGACTCAATCAGTTTTAGTTAATACAAAAAATAAACTACAACCTCTGTTTTCGAATAGCAATTCGTTTTGTATTTCTCACAGTTTGTTATCCAACAATGGAACTGAAACAACTTAACCGTGTTAAATAACAATTAGCAGGAAATTGTAACACACATTAAACATATTGTATAAATAATATGTTTGTACAAGGTAAATCCGTAAAAAAGATAACAGAATAAATATAAAAGTGGTAAACCACAACGTATCTCGTATGGACTACAAAAAATTAATTCTATTTAGAACGGTTATCATTAATATCTGCAGCTAAAATGCTGCATTCAAACATATTTGTAAAGACCTAATCAATTGTTGTTTCATCAAATGTTATGCAATTCTCCAAGGGAAGAAAACATCAATCAGTTTTACCCTTGAATTATCATAAGAGGAAATCTAATCTACAATTATGTTTATAAAAGACTCACCGCTGACATCTTCACAATTCCAACACTCGATTAAATTACGATAACTTCACATTTCCACACAAAAAGCCGCGCAAGACAGGTGATCCAGATCAATACTCTGCAGACATAATTCGACCAAAACTCCCGCGACACGAACTCTCCCGAATCACTTTCGTAAACGCGTTTAAACCTATTTTTGAATAATTTTGTCACTGGGCCAGGACTCCCCATGTCCGGCCTATATTTCAGATTTACACTATTTTCTAGTCCATTTTCACAACCAACAAACGCGAACATTTATGGATTCCACAATAATAATATATAATAGATAAAAAATATAAAATAATAACAACGCGTGCGCATGCGTTATACGAAAAATTACACTATGTTTATGTACAGTACAAATCACAAAAATAATGGACTTGCACGAAACAAAAACAGCAAATAATTAAATGAAAAATTGTATTTCAAGCGAATTATCTGCTCTCCAACTTGTTTCACAGAGATAAGCAATAATAATTTCACGACTTTGAAGTAAATATATAAATACTGTGTTGTTTTCAGAACGCTAGTACTACAGGCAACACACAATACACTTCTGCATTTAGTAAAGAAAATAAATGCGCTTAAAAATATAATATACACACTTTCCCTATAATTATCTAAATGCAATAAAAAATAACAAACAAGAGGGATGACGGGATGTAAAAAAAAACAATATTATACAACTGTATATCTTTACTTAGAATGTTTTGAAATTATATAAAATATTAACAAAAAAATAATATATAAGATTGCATCAAATATTGCATTAATTTTAAACAAAAATATATATCAAGCAAGAGATGGCAACATTTTTTAAAACTTAATCTATATTTTGCAATTAAAATTCGATAAAATTTCGCACTTACTAGTACCACATTTTTACGTCTTACTTCTAATTTATCAATTACACATTTTAATCCTTTTCTTTTAGTTGATTGTTTTTTTCTTTTTAACTAATTTGGACAAGTGGAATTTCCAATAACAAAGCAATCTTGCTTGAATTAATCTAAACACAAACTATCATTTCAAAAAATCCTATTTTTTATTAATAATTCACATATCAATGATAATAACATAAATACGTATTTAAAATCAATCTTACCTCTACAATATTTGGTCACTAAAATGAAAAACAAATAGTAATTAACTAACAATTTCGCAAAAGCATATTACCGATGTTTTTTGGGTCACAATTAATACATACACATTATAGTCATTAATTAAATATTTCCTCTTTTTAATTATGAACATCATCATATATAATAATGAAGACACGTTTGTCTTCTTATAATTTTTTCTAAATTGCATATGTACTACTATTATTATACAGGGTATCCGAATACAACATCAGGTATAATAAGGCAACACCTTAAGGCATGCACACTTCGTCACAATAAAGCACTTGGGTCTTTTTGTGGTGTTTTTTGTAATTGTAAATGTGTACATGTTTCACGTGTTGAGTGTATGAATGTGAATGTGTTCGTGTGTGTATGTGTGTATAATTAATTTATCGTATTTAAGACACTTCTTAATATATGTACCTACAACGAAAGCTTCGTTATAAACATACAATTTCATTATGTAATTAATTTGGATCATTGTTCAATAGAATAGATATTTAAAAAAAAGTAACAACAGATTATTGCACAAATAAATAAATGGTACCTTCAAAGTGCTAAGTTTTGTCTTCTAATAAAGAATCGCTCTTTCCGGGTTGGTACTAATCAAATCCGTCAGACATGAGAGACATAATCGCTGAATCCACTGAAATTATATGTCCTACAGTCAGAGACAAACCCAGGGCTCACCAAACACGAAAGCATCAATTCTTCATTAAATAATACATTTTTTATTATTGTATAATAAATTTTTGTGAAGTTACCTATTTGGAAATAACTTATTGCAAAATTGATGATATTGCACGTGGTCGTTCTGAAAAAATTGCACATTCTAAAACTTATTAAACAATGACTCCAAGAATGTGTTGGTCCCTCGCAAAATGTGTTTGTTTGTAACAAAACTTTTCGTTAGGTTGTAAATAACGTTTTCTTACGTCCTACACAACAACGTTTTAGTAATAGTTCGAAAAATATATAAGCTTCGGTCACCCTGTATATTCAAAGAAAAATTAATTGAACAAGTGGCATCGCGACACACGAATGGGCGGCTCTTTGTGCGTTTAACAGAAAATGGAATTATAAAAAAACATAACGAAATAACGAATAATAATATACACATAATAATAAGGATCCTTCCTTAACACTAAAAATTATCATTATATAATCGTTAACTGCATTTACGTATGTATTAAACTATACGCTATTAATTAATAATGTTGAGAGATCCATCGCGTTTTTCAATTTTCTTTAATAATATGGTTTCTGAACCAATTCTCATCTTGAAACTTGTGTTGGCAAGCGAGATAGATGCATTTTAAATGGATCTTTTTATCTTGCGAATACAAGTGTTATCAAAAAGCAGAACCGACCAACCGAAATTATTTTGCACATTTTTTTATTTTTAAAAAATAAAACAACTGAACAAACAAAAAACAGAATTTTCTCTTACGAAACCGAACTAATGGCGTTGTGTGGCGCGCCCATTTGCGTTAAAACTTTATCGAGCCATTGTAATGGCCCGTGAAGATGTATCTCTATCCAACAAGGGGTACTGGTGACATCTTGCCGGTGATATTCCGCGCCCCAACCCTTCACGAAACTCATTCTGATTGTGCACATTTTTGTTAGTTCGTATACAGCTTCAAAGCCATGATTGACACATTGTGAGAGTAACTGAGCGAATTCGGCGTTATTAAATATTCTCAGAGAGCATCCTGCTGGGATTTTGCACACAGTTGATGGGTGGAAACCGTGATGGTGATTGCAGTTGCGCGACTGCACGAAAATCGCCGAATCTGATAAGCATTCTGCATAAACTTCACCATTTACATAATACAAATGTACTCCCTTTCCTATATGCCTCCTCGTGTTCTCTATCGTAGAATTTCTGTTTACGTTACTCAACTGCCCCAAACAAAACCGACTGCTATTGTTACTGGGATTCGTAAAACCATCCACAATGACAGATGTACTGTGACAGTGAAACACCTCACCCACTCTACAATTCAATTCGTAATAAGCTATGGAAGCCCAGAATGGTTGCTCTTGGTAAGCTACAGATTGCACATCCGTCAAAGCGGGTTGTGGAGACTCAATGGGTTGAACATTATTGTTACCATTAGTGTTATTCTCATCTGTAGGACTGTAAGCAGGTGGAGGTGTCTCTGCTAGATTTGCATAAGGAGATTGTGGATTGTTTGAACTGACACTTCCTGGACTACTCACACTTGAAATGGGTGATCCAGGATTAAGGTTATTTGTACTGAAACCATTCTGTGAATAGCGAACATTGTGCGGCATATTTGGCTCAACCAACTGTTGAAAAGGAAGCAGCGAATGACCAGGTACAAAATCATTGTGTCTTGGCACCAGTACTGGCGGCAACACTGGACTTTCAACACGTTTGTAATGGTAAGGATTTATGCAAACCTCTTTCTGTTTTGAAGAAAATGGAAATTGACACTGCTCAAGGGGTTTGAGTTCGTGATGACTTTGTAAATCAGGCCATCGCCACACGCGACAATAAATAACGTGAGGAAGACCTTTTCGATGGGAAACTTGCAAACGACCGTCTAAACTTCGAGGAATAGTGACGCACTTACTTGGAGTACCTGGGCAAGAAAGTGCTCTTTCAAGTTCCTCTATAGCTCCTTTTCGTTTCTTAAGCTTCTTTACCAAACTGTCTACTGCCTTTTCTGCCCACTTTTCCTCTTCATCACCTTGTTTCCATCCCAAGAGTTTTTTAACTGCCGGACTTGTGAAGGAAAACAAACTGTTCAGTGTTGACATAGGACCACCACTTGACGATTCGCCCTCGTCAGCGTCCATTTTTAAATGAAAACCCACTGTAATACAAACACTATATTTAATATCAATTACTCCAACAGCTTACTTACGCTTTTGTATACAAATTACGGATAATGACTCACTCTTTATTGATGTTTAACTTCCATTCATAAAACTGACGATTGTAAACGTCCATAAGCTAAACGTTTTTTTATTTATTCCTCACAAATACACGCTAATAAAGTACGCAAAAGTTGCTACTGCAAATTTATCAAAGTGCAATTCACAACAAAAATAAAACAAAACTTAAAAATTAACTGTGCATTCGACTCTTTAATGACGTATATATCAATAGAAAATAAACATATCGAAGATCAAAAAGGTTACCTACCTCACTAAACTTAAAAAATGCAGCACTAATTAACGGTCGGTTCGTTTATAATGTTAACAAGTGAGTTCTTGGGAAAATAACAGTTGCTTGGGTTGACTTGGCTTCTACCATCAGCCGTCTTTTCGACGCCAGTTAGTTGTCCTGATCGTCAATTTGCAATGTGGCGCTCGATTTGTATTGAATGTTCAAAGCGGGAGTTTTAAATTACACCAATGTTCGCAAAGAAGAACAGACTTGAGACTTGAATTAATCGTAGTACAAATTAACATCTTTTTAAAATACCGTTAACATCGGACGTGATTTCCTCGAACGATAAAGCGGAAGGCGATACATTATAAGTTCAATTACAACTCAATACACTGTCATGCACATGCAATCAACTGAAACGATAAATATTTACTTTTAATGTTGTTGCTGGTAACTTTATCTTCGCAACCTCATCATTTAAAAGTATAATTACCAGTAATTACCTTTTATACTGTTATAATTTGTTATTTTATTTTTGGTGGAAATTTATGATTTTCATATGTATAACTGTTAATTATCTACGGGTATACCAAATGGATGTTCAAGCATATAAAGAAAGTAATTACAATGTTTCATTTTTATTAAGAATGTAGTTTTAAGGGTTAGGTTCGGTTGGGTAAGAAGGTTAAGAACCTCTATTGTTGAAAATTAATAATAGTCTTTGGATGTATTTTTCCACAGAAAAACAAGAACGAAGTCGTACCAACATTGCCAATTAAATTAAACTTATCCTTTTTTAATACTAAACTAGTATGTGCCTTCTTATTTATTATTTTCAATTAAAATAAATAAAGGTAGGTTTCCAATTCAAAAATCAAGAATTACTAATATATTATTTCTGTGTTGGTAACGGAAACAATTATATAGATGCGGGAGGATGCTAGTTTCTATTTCCATTGTTGTGATTTTGACAGTGAACGTGGAAAGGTGTTTTTCAAAATTATGTTAAAATAAACGTACAGAATTAGTTCACATGTGATAATTTCAAAGTTAACATAAATTAACTGCAAATTACTAATCATAATAGAGATCGACGAACTGGTGAGTACAATTTATAATTAAAGTTTATTATTGTAATCAAAGCCAACAATGGTAGATTATTGCGACTCATTTTGCCACTAACTTACTTTTATCATTTTCAACTATTTAATTAAAATAAGTAAACAATAAGTAACATCACGCGTAATTAATGATTTCTTGGCTATTGCTTTCAAATGCAACCACATTAGGCAGAAAACTTAATTGTATTTTACCAACAATAACGTACTTTTATTATTTTAAACTAATCTTAAGCACACGTACTTTTGGGTGGTAGCTGGTAGAGTAATAAAAACTAATTGTAAGTAATTAAGTGGTTACCTTAATATTTATTTGACGAAATAAAAGACCATTTAGTGCTACATATTGTTTACTTATATAAATATGAATTAGTCTAATGTGAAATAATGGAACACTTACAATTAAATTTTCAAAATTGTTAAGCCATACAAAAAATCGAACGAACGATTCTATAACAGCTCAGTTAATGAATAGCTATTAAACCAGATTCTAAAAGTTTCTGAATTTTTGCTGCTATATCAGGGTTCTTTAAGTGGTCTTGAAGGGCTTTCGGATCATTTTGCATCTGTTCTAATATCATTCTCATCGCCGGATCCCGCAAAATCGACTGAACCTCGGGATCTTGCATGGCGCGCTGTCTAATTTTTTCTGGATCACCACCAGTACTGTCCAAAGTACACTGACGGTAACCCTGAAGTGCCTCTGCATTGTTAGGATCCAATTCTAAAGCCTTTTGAAATGCTGAGATCGCTTTTGAAGATTGATGCATTCCCTACAGCAAATATAAAATGATAAAAAGCTGGTCAATTAATTTTGAAGACAAATTAATACAAACATGTAAGATTGTGCCCTTTCTAATCCATCCTTTGATGAATTTGGGATCAAGTTCCGTACACTTTTCACAATCTTTAAGGCCTAAATCGAATGCTGCTAATTTTGTATAACATGCAGCTCTATTGCTGTAAAGTTTTGCGTCATCTGGGTTTCTTTTGATGGCTTCAGTATAATGTTTAACAGCAGTGGCATAATCTCCTTTTTTAAATAATTCATTACCTTGAATCAAAATTGGCATGTTATAAAATATGAGTAAAATAATTATTATTGCATTATTATTGTATACCTTTTTCCTTTTCTTCTTCAGCTTTTTCTGGGTCAATGTATGCTTTTCTTTCCTCCTCTCTAATAATCTTTTCCAAGTCTGAAATAAGTGTTTTGGTTTCAGGTGTTCTGTGTTCTGACATTGCCTTTTCAAAATTGATCTTGGCATTTTGCCAATCTTTTAGTTTCTTGTAGGCATTTCCTATTCTAACAAATGCCTTTGCTATCAATGTAAAATCAGCTCTGTTCTCTCTTCCAACCTCTATTCCTTGTTGACAAATTTCAATGCACTTGGGATAATCTTTCTGTTCAAAATACACAGCAGCTAAGTTATTGTAAAATGTTATATCTGTAGGATCATGTTCAAGAGCCTTCTTGTAACATTCTATGGCCTTGGCAAATTCCTTTTTCTTATAAAATTCATTGCCCCTTTCCTTTTCTGCTTTTGCAAGTTTCTTGTCATCTGGCAAGTCAGTTTCTGCTTCTTTTTTTTGTTCAGGTTCGGGATTTTTGGATGGCTCTGGATTAATGGGTTCTGTTTCCATAGGTTCATCCTGACTTAAATCAATACCCATCAGTACACCTAAAGTTGTAAGAACACGAGGATCTTGGAAATTTTGAGCTAAAGCATTTGGATTTGCTTGTAGCTGCTGTAATAGAGCCATGTAACTAGGATCATCAAGATAACCCCTTGTTCTAGGATCACTTCTTAATTTCATTATTACTTCAGGACCAGCAAATGGATTTCTTAGGTTCCCCAAACGGCTAGCTTTTTGTGCTCTAACTTCAGCTAAACCATCTCTTAACTGGGCATTATTAGGATCGAGCTGAAGACCTTTCTCATATGTTTCTATAGCCTCATCAATTCTACCCAGATAGGCCAAGGCCGATCCTTTTCGAGAATATCCTTTACCCCAATCTGGTTTTATTTGTACTGTTTTTTCAGCATCTTGCAATGCTAAATCGTATTTTCCTGCCTTTGCATAAGCAGCTGATCTATTTGAATATAAAACATGGTTGGTGCTATCGAGGTTAATGCCTTCGGTATAATATTTAATCGCCTCATCGAATTTATTTTCTGCTAAAGCAGCATTTCCCTTTTCTTTTAACTGAGACACCTACAAAAAATTTTTACAATACACGTGAATGCGGTAACCTTACTTTTTTTATGTAAAACACTTTTTGAGTGTATAAAATTGCATTTGTTTATTTGTTAAAACCAAATTTTCTTACCTCTGCCATTGTGGAAATGTAGTAAGATATTACAAGACGTTTTGCACACGTATAACGAGAATTAAACGATACTTTTTTCCAGAAAATACCAGAAACTACGTACCCCTTCTTAACACACAATTCTGCTAATGTATGCTGACATTTTTAAAACAAAAGTAGTGACAAAAGTCTACACTAAAGTTAGCTGTGGTTACACCATCAGTCGCTTAAGGTTAGCTATTTGTATTAATGAAAAGTCTTTTTATATTTTACTTGTTTGATTAATTTAAAACGGACAGTATATTTTCTAGTAATAACAGTTTTTTGGGTAACATTCTAATTTTATTATCCGGCATATGTTCCATGCTGCGCTTCAAAAACAGCGCGAAATTTAAATTAAATTAAACAAAACCCGGTTGGACAAACAACGTAAATATGTAATGAATAATTAATTATACAACTCAGTTTCTGAGTTTTTTGCATATGAGGACATATATTTCACGAATACATATATTCTTATGGTGCGCGCTTCAGTCACACACGTACAAACCGTGTGACCAGTCGTTTCGCAATCTTTTTTAATTAATGTAGAATGCCGAGACCTTTAATTTGATGCATGGCGCTTATTGCTATTAAGTAAATATGCAATTCTTTGCAATATTTAATTGAGTTTTCATGGTTTTATTATTTCATTTAAAATATAATACGTAAACTTCTCGAATTGGCATTAACCTACATATATCTTAACTACCCACAGTTACATATACTCATTTCTCATTAACTAAAACGTATAAGAAAACCACGCTTCGTACTTGAACAAGTATTGTCGTGCTTGCGGAAGGTAATGTTGATGTATAAAGAATGTGTTAATTTTGGAATTTCCATGTCAACATTATGAGGCAGATAGGAAATTCCCAATAGTTGACATTACGACACAAACAACTGAATTGTCATATATAAAATAATCGCTTCTTTATGGATTCGTAATAAAATTAATTATCCTAATAAAGACGCGGCTACCTAGCAATTTATAAAAACGATCAATAATTAATGCAAAAGGGATCAACCACCTGCCTACGAATGTCTGTTGCCTTTAAAACTTGTAATTAATGGGTACCAACGGCTTCTTTAATTAATGTATTTGTAAAAAAAACTGCGATCGTAGTTTACAAGTTTTACTTGATTCATTTTCGAAATAGTGTATTCCATATAATATATGAAATATACAATTTGGCATATGTACAATTTCTAAAATTTAGAACAATAAATAATACTAAAAAATAAAACTAAAATTAACTGTATGAAACATTCGACGAATACATAACAATTAAGTCTTTTTTTAATTATTTTAACTAAATCGAGCGTAATCTTCCTTCCTTTTCTTTTTAACATTTCCAAGATTTACAACTAAATGTCATAATAAATAAAGGGATGAATATCTACCACGATATAAGTTAAAGTGTTAGTCAAAAGAAATGACCAACGTCATCTAATCATCTCGTTAAAAAATATATGTATGTATGTATGTAGGAATATAAGCAAGATAAGATCACAGAAGTAGTCTGCTTTAAACACATTCTCTCCTTCCTTTTCGGTTGCTTCCTGACGACGGACGTCGCGGGAGGGCACTTAATGCCTATCGTCCCCTTTTTCTCTCCCCTACTGTATTTATTGTCATTTTCACCCCTTTTCGTTCTTAACAGGTTCCAAGTACTTAGGCAGTAGCTTTGACTGCTGGACAAACATTTGTATTTTTGTAGGGTGCCTAAAAAAAAAAATAAAATTATTAGTTTATGAATTCCATTAAACTTACGATAAGTAAAAGCTGCTGTTTGCCAAAAGAAAGATAATTTAAATTAAAAAAAAAAAAACAAAAAACAAATTGCATAACAAGGTCTGTGACGAGAATCTTTATCTTTTTACTTGAACAAAGTTAAACGATAGACGTACCAAGTACAAAATCGGTGATTTTAATTAAATGAGTATGACGTCAATACATTTAACTCGTTTTGCATGACTAGCCAACATACTTTATTTCTATTTTGTACGTCAAATTAACTTAAAAAATAAGAAAGGTACAGTACTACGTTGCTCATACAATATAAATATACCAAATTACTGTACAAAAATTATGTTCACCAATTTTATTTAAGACTCGACATGTTTCAAAATTTATCCCGTTATCAACAAGTAACAATATACTGATATGTCTTTCCGAAAAATAAAATTCGTGAACATAATTACCTTAATTATTAATCATTAAAATTAATTGTTCACTCTTTTACTTCCAATTTGATTTGAAATCGGAATCTTTTTGTAAAACATTAATTAAATTGTGGCGCGGTGGGGGTCCACGATCATTACCATAATATGACCTAGCTCTTAAAAAGTCACGAACTCTAACCTATACAGTTCTTTTGCGTTCCTGCATAACTTAATAAAAACAATACCATGCACACCATTGATCTAATTTTGAAAAAGCAGAAATATCTTTCAGAAATTCCAAATTGTAATTTATTTAACATTTAGAAATCGTCACCGATAGCGGTTTTAATTAATTTCCAATCGGATAAATAAAATTCACTACCTACTACCATTGTCAACGTTCGTTTACACCGATTTTAAGACATTATGCAAAACATTTTTCAACCTTGTCGTTAAAGGATGTAATTAACTAAACCTACAATATAAAATGTACAGAAAAGTAATTTATACAAAATGTTCTCAGAATACTAATGCATAGACGTAGAGAACGTAGGAATAACCAAAAATAAAATAGATACAAACCTCATCTTCGCTACTACTAGAATCGTACTCCTCGTCGCTAGAGTAGGGGGAGGGAACTCCCCGTGATCTAAGGGCGTCAAACAAGTTGGAAGGCACAGGGAAGCCTAATTGGAGAACTGAACGACCACCATACGTCACTACTGAAGCATTAATTTTGTTACATTCGAGTAAAAATGTAGTTAATCGCTCGTCTCGATTTTCTATGGCATAATGTAAAGCTGTATAGCCGGATCGGCCCTCTCTGGCGTTTATATCAGCTCCGTACCATACCAGGTGTCGGAGGACGTCTACATGACCGTTTATGGCCGCTACATGTACACATGTTTGACCTGAAACAAAAAAAATACAATGTGAATTTTTGCTTATCAACCACCAATTCATACAATTCTTCTCATGTAGGTCGGTTTTTCTTTTATTTTACAATATAAAAATATTAGTTGTTTCTGACGTTGCGTCACATTTATTAATGTTATTCACTCCCTCTCTCGCGATTATCTCAATAAGGATTACATATATCAGCAGTATATTATTCATAATAACCAGGCTTCGATTTTTATGATATCATTCATTCTGTTAAAACCCAATTTATTCTCATGAAGCCGATTAGAAAAATTACGTAAGACAGTAGATTACCGTAGCTTTTTTGTCAAACGTAACAAAACACAGCCGCAAATATCCACTTGAACAAAATGGAATTGATTCTTGGAAAACAGAAAACGACAATATACAAATAAAAAATCTTTTATTTATAAAATTTTAACATCGCCAGTTAGAAAATTGGGAATAACAATAACACATACTACATTGCCTGAAAAATTAGGTCATTTTAATCTTCCACTAAAACTGTAATGTTAAATAAAATCTAGTTATTAACAGAGGTACAGTTAAGTTTTAGACCGGATCAGACTTGCAGACTTGGAAAAAGCAAAAATTTTAAATACTACGTTCAAATATGTGTATGTATATTAACGTAATAGGTCAGTTTTTAAAGCGTCATTGTCCTTATAGATGGGCTGACGTCAGTCTTAAAAATATGTATTAAAAAAGACGTGTTTTCCGAAGATTACCTGAATAATAACATCGCAATTTGCTTAAATCTCACACATACACACAGATCTGTACATACATACAAACATGCGGATTTTGGCGAATATTTAAATGTACACGAAAGCAATGTATATGGTCAGTATCATAGCTTATAAAAATGAAATCTTATAATATTGCCTACATATCTATAAAATATACTATTTTTACTTCACAGAGTATACTCGAATCTTTGAAATATGTAAAGGGTTCGAATCTTTCTAAATATGTCTGTTTTATTTTGGGCTCTAGTCGTCTGAAAATACTCGTTCAGATTTATATAAGATCTTAAAGCATGCGGAATTCGGACCGTCGAACGAGCCAGACATGTCTGGTTTTCCCGAAGGAAAGGCGGCAAAAATTCCTCTCTCCTTCTGTCTAAAATTAAAACAGTATTTCGAATAACAGGCTGCGAGCGCGTTCTTTACAAGCCTACCGTCACGACAACATACTTTAATCACCGCGTCGCTATGTGGACGCCTGGGAAGTCCCGACTAAATTTAAGCGCCCATCTGATGATGACCTCCTTTATCCCTCGACTGTTTTTCAATGAACTTTTTGCCACAGAATCTGATCGCTAACTTAATTTTTCGTTACGCTTAGGCGACATCATTAAGTCTTAATTTTCTTCAATTTTGTCCATTACAAGAGAGTTTGGCGCTAATTAAATGTTGCTAATTGCAAAACTAGAAATTTACAGTGCTAGTGATAATATTTTTTGCCTCGGACATAAAATTTACGAACTCTTCAAACATATTTTAATCATTTTTTGTTCTTGAAAATTATCCATGATATTAAAATAATTGTACTTAATTGCATTACAATATTCACCATAAAAACATCAACCATATGTGCATTATGTTTTGTGTACAATAATGCGGGCCAGAAAAGGCTGTGTTCCCATTTTTTACACGAGGTTTATTAATAACCTTTGGAAAAATTCGTCTCGTGATTGCGTGGGTGAATTTGCACACAGTACTGTTTACATTCAATTCAAAAACAACCCATTACAACTATTAATGTTATACTACCGTACTCATAAAGCGTTCTATTTATAATTAAATAAATTCTGATCTAGTTGTACGTTAAAGAGAACATTATACAAGACATTTGCCATTTTTCAAATTAGGGATATCTGCTCTATGTATATGCCAAAATCAAAATGATCTTGAAAAAAATCTCTTCGTAGGTATCCTACACTGTTATTAATTTACCGACAGAAATTATTTTCATCGAAGGGATAACAATGCCAGGTACACAGAGAAGTTCGTTAGCCTTTAAACCGGTCCCAAAATAAAATTAAAATAAATTTTATAAATCACCACTTCTTCGTTTTTGAAAGCATCCTAAAGTCGTCATTACATTTTCGTTTATTATAATCAAAATTATCCCTATAGCGGTCTTCCTTTGTTTCTACTAACTAACTAACTAAGGTCCTTTGGTCTTTACGGTCAGTTATTAGCATATTTCTGCATATAAAAAAGGATAACTAATTTAGTCTTGATATGTTTGAGGATTTATTTATATCATACGCAAACGTGATCTAAAATTTGGATGCGTAAAAACAAAAACATTGCCAAAATTCCGATTCCTGACTCATAATTGGATAAATATATATTTCAAATTTGGAACTACACATGTTGATAAAACCTTCTTATTGATTTGATGCAAATGTAGTGTTAAAATATAATGCAAAAAAAAAGATTTCATGCACATGCAATCAACTGAAACGATAAATATTTACTTTTAATGTTGTTGCTGGTAACTTTATCTTCGCAACCTCATCATTTAAAAGTATAATTACCAGTAATTACCTTTTATACTGTTATAATTTGTTATTTTATTTTTGGTGGAAANATTGGATAAATATATATTTCAAATTTGGAACTACACATGTTGATAAAACCTTCTTATTGATTTGATGCAAATGTAGTGTTAAAATATAATGCAAAAAAAAAGATTAGGAATAAGAATTTCGAGCTCATAGCAAGTAAAACATAGTCGATAACGTCAAAAGACAAGACAAACGACAAACTTGAACGACAGTCTTTTCAAATGGGGATTCCCCACAAATTAGGAAAATTTTAGGAACCATTACCATTTATCACTGTCGATATAAAGCCGGTTTTTGGAAATTTAGAATGTGGTGGCTAGTTTTTAAACAAAAACGATTAATGACGAAAGTTGTCGATACAGCCAGACAACTGTATAAACACAATAAATTATTTATTTCTATGTATATTATCAACTAAATAATAGAATGGGACTTTTTTTTATGATTTGATGTTTTGTCTTTGCATTTCACGAATGAAAATTCATCTAGCGAAATAAAAAAGAAAATTATATTGCTATTTTACAAATGGCATGTAATCGTGTGGAAAAAACTACGATACGACATTCTTCTTGTCAATTACTGCAGCATTCAAGAACGCGTTTAATTAAATTTTAATTGTGGGTCAAGCTCACTGTATATACAGATGTATACCAAATACGGAGGTAACTGTTGTTTAGAACACAATACATACATACAAGTACAGACCACAATGAGAAAGTACTATTAACGACCGCAAAACATTGCTCGTAGGTTTACAAGTTAGAACCAAAGATAGATTTTCCAACTGCACACTTCATAGGAAAAACCATGACCATAATTAATACTAGAAATTGTTCAACATCATTACAATGCAACGCATTTCAAGACCGTTTTCACTTATAACTCATTCAATTTCCTTCAGTTCTTTTTTCTGAGTTAAACGGTATTTACAGATTACAGATTAAGAAGAGCTGAGTGTGTTATCTTCAAGGATGTGACCCCTTTAAATAACCCATGTCTAAACAGTAAATAAAATTGGCAATAGAGCATGCTTTGTCATTCATTATTTTGCTAAACTGTCTCTTTTTTGCGGTTACTTTTTTGCTCAAGTTACTCCTATGGCGAGTCATTAGCTGCCTCTGTCCTAAGCCGGATACACTAGAGCGTTAGTTTACAGAGTTAATGTACATATAGAAAAAAAAAAAGGTACAGAATAAAATCTAAATTTGCTTCTTTCCATTTTATCAATGATCATACTATACACAACACAAACAAAACTCAAAGCAATTCAGTAAAATAATTCTTACCATCATAATTCCACTGTTCTAGGTCGACCTGATGATAAGGTTGAGCGGGATAACTAAGGGCTAAGCTGTCTCTTTCGTGCTGGGTTACGGGGTTGGTGATGGCCTTGCAGGTTTGCAAATCGCCAGTCTGGGCACAGATGTGCAACGGTGAGTCGCCTCTAAGATTCCTAGGTCCAGGCCTGGCTCCGGCCACTATAAGCCACCTGACGATATGCCACTGACCGGTGACCACCGCCAGATGAAGAGGCGTCAGGGCGTCGTCGTTTGGGGTGTCCAGCAAACGAGGGTGAGGTGCTGCTCTAATCAATGCAAGAACCACTTCCGGAAATCTCTGAACTATAGCAATATGGAGATGTCTGCAAAAGTAGTAAAAAAACCATTAACAAGATCATAATTTCTGTTCAGCATTTCAAATTAAGAAAAACCAGAAAAAAGACTTATTTTAAATCAAACAAATCTGATTTTTCGGATCGTATATACCTATAAACTACAGTTGTTTCCTGTCAGAACCTTCAATATCTAAATGGGCAGGATGTTGTTAAGCATGTACATACAATAAATATATAGTAAATACAGTAATAGGATCCCACGTTTGCCTTTAATGGTATTGAATACTGGTACAAACAAAATGAAAGCATATGTGTACTGCTGGTTTTCCCAGTGTCTGCTTTCAACGACACAATCGTCCGGCCAAACAACCAGCCAGAGCTAACTAATGAACTGACTTTCTAAAGAAATTATTACACTCGATGAATGAACGATAGGTCTCCTTGAACTCGGGAAACAACAGTTACCAATACTTGCTGGAAAGCCCAAAGATAAGTTTGCAAGAATGTCATTGGCAAATTGGTAGTAAATGACCCCATGCAGTAAATAAAACTGCAAATAACACTACTACTAATTAAGAAGGCCTGGCGTATAACACAAAAATGATCGTTACTTGATTTTATACCGTTTATCATTACCGAATAGAAAAAATGCGACCCCTTATCTCCTGAGGAGGACTCTAGAAGCATTTATTGCAAACGATGCAGACGGAATAAAACTAATTACACAATAAGTAACTTACGTATCGCCGTCTTCGTCCTGCTCAAAGTATAGTTCCCACGGGATTTCCTTCTGGTCGGACTCTTTGATACATGGTTGCGATTCATCTATGTTTCCCGAACTAAGGTCGTTGAGTCCCGAATTTTTCAAACTCAGGCTTGAAAAACTTTCGGACAAACCAAGGTCTACACCACTATCTAAACGCATCAAGTTATCGTCGATGAGAGCCTGTTTTTTATGGTCATCTGCCGAGGTCGGAGTTGGAGGGATCTCTTCCGAAATTATTTCACCTGATAATGCCAAATTTCCACCCGACAAAAAACCGCTGTCTGTCCTCGAATCGCAGTCAGTCTTTTCGTCCTCGGTCATTCCAGGCGCCGTTTTTCTTGGAAAATCTGTAACGGGTAAGTTATCCATATTTTCCACTTTTTTACTCATTGACGTGCTGTCGAATATGCTTTTTTAACCGAAAATCTACAGATCACACATACACACAGACCAATTAATTAATTAAACGCAATCGCTGTCCCCGATAAGCATTTGCACAATTAAAATGACACTGGGTAACTGTCGCAAAGGAAATTAAAAATTTCGTTTCGATATGCACGTAATATTTATTATTTTATTCGATGCACAAGTTCGTGTCGTTCGACAAGACAGCAAAATCTCGCAAATACAACCTATACGGAACTGACGAAAACGATACGTCGCACTATGGCGCACACTCAGTCTGGGAATCCCTTGACATGCGCACTAAAACGCGTGCGAGTTGACGAATCGGGTGCCTCCTTTCGAAAGCGCGGAAGTCTGTCGTCATCGAATTAATTAATTAATCATTTCATGCATTTTTATAAGAAGGCAATTATTTGCTGACCATGAAACCATAGCAAAAGACTGCTTCGTAGATAAGAAATGCTTGCTACTATCAATTACAATTTTTTATACAGCAACGGGACTCGCGTTCAACATTTTCGCATAAAAATAACAAATTGTTACACGTGCGTTATGCAACCGAGATACATTAGTGTCACAAGGGTTGCATATGGTACATAAATTCAAAATCAATTTGCGGCAAAATTAGTTCATTTTATAAAAATATATAAATAACATGAATCTATCAACAAAAAAATAAATGCATTTTCAGCATTTTTTACCGCGGTAGGTAGGAAATATTGTTACAATAAACAAATAATAATTGCGCTATTTATTCTAATAAAAATATACGTAAGCAAATTTCCCAACATTGCCTGCTTACGCACAAAATATATAATGATATACACTACTACAAGTGGTTTATTTAGTGTTTAAATTTTAAATTTAATTATTCATTACTGTATTATAATATAATAAATTACGTGTTCCCTGCAAAGTAAGAACATGTCGTCGTTCAAAAATATATTACTTGAATAGACAAAAGTCAAGATAAAGAATTAAATTTAATTGATNATATTATAAACCTATAAAATTTTTATTTGGTTTCTGTTACAATAAATTCTTCTGTGTTGCTGACTAAACTTCGCAGACTAAACAATTAACATTTGAACATTGTTTAAGTTTCTTTATAATTATTGACCAATTGGAAAATACTGCAATGCATAAAATTCATATTAAATATAAATGAATAGTAAACAACTAAAATTAATATTCTACTACAAGTGGTTTATTTAGTGTTTAAATTTTAAATTTAATTATTCATTACTGTATTATAATATAATAAATTACGTGTTCCCTGCAAAGTAAGAACATGTCGTCGTTCAAAAATATATTACTTGAATAGACAAAAGTCAAGATAAAGAATTAAATTTAATTGATACAAGTGAATCTAATCGGCCTTTTACCATTAATTGCGATTCAATTATGCATAATTCTTTTTATTGCGGATCCAAGCGTCGTCCGAGGAGGGATTCCCAAACGACGATCATCCACAAATAATGGATATTCTTTAATGCTGACTTGTACAAAAAGCAGGAATTTTACATATCGAGAAAGAAGCCGCCTTACAGTAAACAAACTCTACTTACAAATGTCATGGTCTTCCAACCAACAACAAGTACACTAAAGCTTACAGTTAGTAGAAAGGCGCAAATGTGCAAAATTATAAAAGTTCTGATCTGTAACTGTTATTAAGATGCTTTTGTTTTGAAAGTTTTATTGTTGTTTGTTTCAACTGTTTCTGGCAAAAATTGAAATCGCTACATACTATACAACATGAAGTAAACTTATTGTTTTATGACAGTGTAAGACTTATAAATTTAAATTACCATTGGTAAGATGTTGGATATTAATCATAAACAGTTCACTGCGCGGCATTTGGTACCGGTATAAGAAAATTTCATTGAAAACGCGACTTTTCGCACCAACACAACATCACTTCCATTAACAACTTCGGTCACAATATGAGCCCCTACGTGCGCGAAAATAAATTATACCGTGTGTGAAAATAAGCTACAAACTTCGCTTCGACTTAGCCTCTCGCTTACTGTTTACTGTTACTGGTGGTTTCGTTAGTTTCTAGTTTCATTTCTGCTACCATGGCATGTATCATCATCATTTCCCCACCCCCGTTAATTTTTCCAGTACCGGACTCGTCGACCATTCACAGGACTTTCCACTTTCTGTGGCCAATAAAATTAACGGACGCTTTTCAATTTTTTTCTCAAACAATTTCTCTGTACTTAGTGGACGTCCGTTTTATTGGGATTCATTATTTTTTTCAACGAAAAGTTTGCTTTCAGAAAATCCTCATAATAACAAACTTTCTGAAACTTTTTGTAATGTAAACAAAACGCACATGGAAACGAAACATTGTTTTGGTTGTCCTTTGTGGTGTTCTTTACAGGACCGTTAAAATATTTTTGTTTGGATTTTTTTATATTTTTAAATAGGAGCCGAAAAGCTAACACTAATACCTAGTAGCCGATTTTCGATATTCAGGGAATAAAGACGTCATGAGGATAATAGATTATTTTCTATCTACATATTTTCAAATTCCCACGTCGTCGAAATTTTCTCATTAGAAAATCCATCTTTTTTCGTCATAAAAAACCCGTGAAAGAAATTACATGATCAATTCATGTTGTACCAAAAACATTTATGGTAACAATTAAAAAAAGATGTTTTCAAAATTATTACCCCGTTATATCAAAACTGTATAAATGTTTCGAATTACCTTTGACTTTACGTAGTTAGTAGCTACCAAGACAATAGGGAAATTATGTAAATTCCACCCACATCTATTCCTAAAACGTACTTGCAATAAAAATGTTAAAATTGAAAATTATTTATAAAACAATGAACATACTTAAAAAGAAATTAAAATCTGTTTTTTTTTTCTTGCAAATTTATGACGACAAACTTAAAAATATTTCACGGCTCTACTGGTATGAAAAACAAAAAAAAAAAGAATTCATCACATTCAGGTTTGTATAGCCTTTTGAACGGACGGTTTTTCCAATTGTTAAAACTACGGTACAAGGTGAAACCAAGATCTTGATAATACGAAAAAAGTATTGCTTTATTTATTGGTACACCTAACAGCAAATATGTTAATAATGATAGATAACGAATAGCCCAAAACAAAAGCCTTATCTGTTCTATATGTTCTTGGATTTTCCATTTATAACCACGACGATTAAATTAACTGATAACACATTTAACGTTTTAAATGTAAATACCTATTGTACATAAGTTAACAATCACGTAATAACTCGAGTGAGGTCTTGAACTAAAAAAAAGTCGAAGTAATTTGATAGTTTTCTGTTGTATTGTATTACAACAATTTCTGCTGAATTGTCGACTAATTCGTGAGAAAAATTGATTAATTTCTTGAAATAGCTCGCCCAGATTTCATATAACCCATGATATTATCTGAAATCTGTTTTTTATGACCGTTCATTCGGACTTCAAGGTGAACGCACAAGTTTTACGATTAATAAAAAGCGTGCCACCTATTACATGCTCAAAATTATTTTTAATATCGAAATTAAGTTTTTTTCTACCGGCATCAAATTAAAATATACTTAATAAAAAATCTAAATTATTTTTCGATACAACAGTTAAGCTAACTAAAACTAGTTTGTAACTATTCTGAGGGATATGATGAATACAGTGCACTTTATAATAGCTTAAAAGTCCCGAATGAGCATACATTATTTTTTACACCTAGAGAACAAATTAAATGATGATCAAAAACTTTTAAATTTGTTCATAATAAAAAGCTAACAAATGATTTCCATATAACATTGAGATCATAGTAATTTGGAAAGAGAAGGTAAAAGGTCGATGTCTCTTTTTATTCTAAAGGCAGTAGGTCGACGTCTCATACTTGGGCAATTGCAATAACCATGTATTAAAAAAAAAAAACAAAAGTTCCGGGTTCGATACTCTCAGTACTTCAATAACGCGATTCGGGACACTTTTGATAATCGGATAGGTAATGCCAAACCATTCAAGTCGTCACAAATATAAACGTTTGCAATCAAAAATACATCATAAAGCACTGGTCTTAAGACCAAAAATTCCAAAAAAAAGCCTAAAACGTGTTTCGAAATTTAAGACGTCATCTTTTGTTCTCGACGCCCAGAATGTTAGACTTTTTTTGTTCATGCACACGCATTAAAGCAGTTATAAAATCTTTCAGATTTTTCCCCTTCGAAAATTTTATTCGCAAAATATTAAGCTATAAAATATGAACTGTGTAATAACAGTATAACATGATAATTCGATTTGCTGATCCAGTTTCCAATATTATCAGATATTGATGCGAAATTACATTTAAAAGAGACTTTGGATATCCCTAAATATAACGTATTTTCCCCACCTACTTAGGAATCCATCAATATGGAATTACCGAACACTTGGCGAAATTTATTCCTTTGTACATAAATAGTAAAATCGACTTGGGTAGACTCTGAAATTTAACTGTTATTTACATCAGATTTTTATTTTATAGAAAACGAATAACTTTTGTTACCTAATTAAATTGTTTTTGATGTAATGAATCGAATTGAAATATATTGGAAAAACTTTTGGATTGAAAAAACAAGTCTGACCACAAATAATACTTACGATTAATTCAATAATTAAACCTAATCGTAATCATTAACAGTACGTTTAACATAACAAACGTTTTTCAATCAAAAGTGTCTACTTGCAATTATTCCTTTTATTTTAATTATTCGAGTATTCTTAATTAAACTGCAAACAGTCACCAGTATTAGTGTGATTGAGAAGCATTACATACTAAGTATAATAAATATATTAAGAATAGAAGCATAGATAATAGACTACATTTTTTAATAAGTTCTCAGTTCGAAATCTTAATGTTTGTAAATCAAACTCATAGTAAAGCGGGCACGGGTCGCTAGTAATAAATTACATTACGATGAACCATATGTTTGCACCCCTCAGAAATACCTGGCATTTCCGAGTGGTCGGTTATTCACTCGAAAGCAATGCATGGAAATTTCGATGACTGACTAATGCACGTAGCAAAATGGACACATGTCTCCCATGAATGGTTTTATTGATGTACGTTGCAATAGTTTTGCTGATAAGACGCCTGATAAAAACACACTTTTCCTTATATTATTATCTATCAGTATGAACAACAATTACACTCTATTAAATGCGCACATTATCCACGGAAAGCCCCAATTAGATTACGAAATTTGTTGTATAAATGCATTTTAATAGCTAAGGGTGGTACTTAATGTCCAATATGTACAATAGTACAATTGTATATTATCCATTTGCTTATATTTGCTAGTAAGTATTCATTGATTAGGGAAATTATGCGCTCAATACATTATACATTATACAGAAAATACAATTATTAATTTCACATCTTTAATCCCTTACTAATTACATGGGTTTAAAAATTCAAAAATTTAATGCAAGTTCAAAGTATTCTAATAAATATGAAGAACTATTCGTAAAACAACCTCAAGTTCCAGAAAATCTTAATGTATTTAGAACAAATAACATTCCAGTTGAACATACATAAGCGCAGCATTCTACAAAGTAACACATACTATTATATGTATAAAATTATTAATTTTCTTATGTAGTAGATACGTGATTCTAAACGTGTGAGTATACTCTATAAAAGCCAGTCTTTGTTTTGTAAATGTAAAGTGTCCATGCCACTTAGGTTGGTTCTAATTACACATGGGATTTTTAAAGACGATTATGTAGCTGACTGGAATACATTCTTCGAATACTTTTCAATTTCCGCAGTGCAACAATAAAATATAAGCTTAAGATCTTAATCAATACTAATAATAATAATATATATATCCTGCCTAAAGAAAAACCAAATAATGAAACTACGTTATGGTAAAATGAAAAGTGATGTAGATTTTGAAAAACAACTTCTATAGATCTTATCTCTCCATAATGCATTTCAAATCGTAAAATATAATTGCAGATGCTACCGAAATACTTTTTGGAACATATTTTGGTATTACTGAAAGATAAATTTCGTTTAATCTATGAAGTGTGTAACTTTTACGTTTCAAGTATGGGACAAACAAATAAACATTCAATACAAATTCTTTTGAAATAATAAAGCAATAGGTATTTTGAGGTCTAAGAAATCCCACATCATGCGGATCAAAAGAAATTGCCGTCAATAATTCGATTTCGACATCATTTTTCGTGGAATGTGAATAAATGTTATAGCGGTGCATAGCTTGCGGTTACGGACATTACTCTCAACGTAAATAACTAACGTTTTAAAATAATTTCTTAACAGTTAAAAGACATAAAGGAACCCATGTTTTACATACTGACTAAAATAGGTTAATAAGTAAAACAGATTTTATGGTATGTCGAAAATATTCCCGAATTGATCTGAAATACTTATTTTAATTGTAAGTGTGCATCATAACAAGTGCAATAAAAAGAAGGAATTAATTTGCTATGTGTTGTAGTATTCCTCGGCGTATTAATTCTTCACATTCTGATCTAGGCAAGAAATGCTGACTATTTTTTTTAAGTAACACATTCGTTCCATCATTTAATTCGAGTTTTCCATAATCTACTAAACACCGAACTTCAATAAACAGTGCTTTAGGTGGTTTAAGATCTACAGCTAAATTCAAACCGCCATTTTCACCAATTGATCTCATGTATTTTCCTAATATTGTAGAATATTTATTAAACCAACCATTTTCAGCTGCACTTAAATTTTCTTTCAGCTCAGTCGGTAGAATGCTCCCAAATTCCCATCTCATTTGACGCAATAATCTTAAACGATTATAATGATAGGCCAATAAACAGCGCTGATTCCTTTGTATAGCTGCATGTCTCATTCTTACTGTCGGCATTAAATTAGTAGAAGTACCTGGAGTTCTTGAATCTTCGAGTCTCCTAAATTAAAAATTTTAGCAAACCACATTTGATATATTTAGAAATATACTTAAGCTTACACATCTTGATGATTTTGGTCGTATAAATGCACGATTTCAGTGGCAATTTCAGTTACTAAATCAGTCTAAAAAATTAAATAAAGTTAACCCCCATAACCACACATACATACATCAAATCATATTAAAGTACATTATAAGGCAGTATTTCACATTGTCTGTCTTCTAACTCCTTAACAAGAGAGTACGCTTTTTCTCCTAACATATCACAAGGCGTTAATTAATGTATTTGTGAAAAAAAATAATTAAGAACACAACAAACAATTTTTAAAGACTTACTAAAATTACGTTACTCCGAAAAATAGATAGATTTTTATTACAATACTTAGCAGTACAACGGGTTGCCTATACAAAACTTTAAAAATAATTTTGAACTTATTATTATCAATAGGGGCGCCGTAAAGATTAATTGTATAAATGCTATAGTGGGAGTCGAAATTTGTGAGCAGCTAATTTTACGATTTTAATTTAATAATTTACTTAAATGTGTTTGTTACATAAGCAGTGTAACATAATAATTGTAATTGCTCTCTCCCGTTGATGTAAACCGAATGTTTTTGTATTAGCCCGATCTCTGAATTTTTATGTCGTGCACTGTATATTTTTTACATCTGAAGAAATACTTATATGCAAACGAATTTACATCAATGTTTGCGCGGTTGCATATGCGGTTTCTTCGATGAAGCATTTTGTAGCTTAATATAGTAAGAATGTATTAACACAGTACAGTATAAACTCTATATTAGGTTTATACTGTGATATTACGGTCAGTTTCCTCCCCCTAATGGGTTAATCAAAATATTCTGAGCTGATTAGGAGCGTAAAAAGATATATTAAAATAAAATTCTGATTATTTTCGGTGAAAATGTATACCATAATTTAAATATCACACCAAAATTGGTTACTAATATATTATAAACCTATAAAATTTTTATTTGGTTTCTGTTACAATAAATTCTTCTGTGTTGCTGACTAAACTTCGCAGACTAAACAATTAACATTTGAACATTGTTTAATTTTCTTTATAATTATTGACCAATTGGAAAATACTGCAATGCATAAAATTCATATTAAATATAAATGAATAGTAAACAACTAAAATTAATATTAATAATTCTTTGCATGATTATTTCAATATGTAGCTTAAAACTGTAGTCTTTAATAACATATTAGTAGCAGTACCTGAAGTCCTGAGAAGGGGGTGAAGGTGCGTTTTTTACCTTGAGAACAAAAACAGTGTGTTATTACTAAAGGAAGGATTTATGAAACTATGAAATGGATTGGTAAATAACAGTATCATTTAAAAATATTAGAAAGTAGTAGAAATATCAGAATCCTCAATTTTTTTTACATTTGTAATTTACTCTCAATAGACAAATTTTAAACAACGTTCCAGTAATGTCGGATGCAGAATGTGTGAATGTTAGCTTAATACAAAGGATAGACCATTTTATCTTTTTTAAACTACAATATGAGCTATCTATACTTTTACTTTGACTTTAATTTGAGAGTCGGAAGAAATGTGATAAGGATTAAATATGGTACCAGTTGATTATTTCGCGTATTACTAAAAGGTGCATTGTGTGTTTATTGTTTTAGCAGTCACCTTTAAAATGTTATTGGTTAAAAGTAGTTAATTACTTTCTTTGTTCATTTTTACAGATTGGTTAACAAATGGGGGAGATTGGAAAGTTAATTTTAACCGTAACGATGACGACATGGGATGTATGCACCGGTGTCCTTTCTGAATTTAGTTTGCATTCCACAGATGTAAACGTTGGAACGTTACATTCTACAGCTAATTCAGGTAATAATACACTAAATTAAAATTAATTACACTTTATTAATCTGTTGATAATTTGATTAACAAAAGACATTCTGAACGTAATGCATAGGATGACAAACGTATGTTACTTCTTTGTATAATACCGGATGATTGTCCGTTATTTTGCTGGGGTTTAAGGTAATTGCGAATTTCAATTTATCCAAATTTTTTCTAAAAAGGCCTGGTTGGCGTTTATAGTCTCACTACATTTTGGCGAGTTTGTCATAAAAATTCATAGAGAACATCGATTCGCATTTCCAACCACCTAATTTAAAAAGGCTTTTATGTCTTGATTATTAATATTTTAAACTCTGATTTTGAAATTCGAGTCTTTAATAAGTAAAGAAATTCAGAAATACTACTGCAGCTTGACGTTCAGAATACTTTGCAGTAAAGTGGGTTGCCTATATCAAAGACAAGATATTTAAAATTTAAAACTAAATCCATGTTATGATGGTACGTTCCCGCGAAATTAAAGAGTGCGCTGTAGTCTAAATAAAAATAANATCGAATTTAACGCATCTGATTGGCGTTTGTCTACGTCATCAGTGCTTCATGTGGTAGCAATCGCAATTTTACGACAAGCCTGAAAGACGTTTTGCACATCATAAGTTCATAAAGTCTCGAGGTGGAAGGACGTGTTTTCGCGTCTCTTAAATTCAACTTATCGAGCTAATTTTTTGGCAAAATTAGTTTTAATTTGTTCTACGTCTGAAAGGATAGTTTGATTCATATTCTATTATTATTCTTCGTATTTGCCCACAGCATAAATTAAATCGACAAAATTTTTAAAGGTTATATCTTGAAACAGACATCAGGTGGTCACGTCGCCATTTTTAATGTTTTGTTATTTTATTCGTTTTTGACTGGTCTTTTATTACGTGTTTTTGTTTTATTTCATGTTTCATTTGTTTAATACGAGTGTTTAATTATTTTTTTATCAATTTTCCGCATATATTTTGACTTTCATTTGAGAGTAAGGGAGAAAAGTGAAAAGGATTAAATTTTTAAATTTTTTGCGTAACAGATATCTATTAAATTAATTAGTTAATAATTGTTTTTGTCCGTTTACACAGATTGGCCAACAATTGTGAGAGATTGGAACTGATATCTTTGCTTACTAAAAAGATAAGTCGTCTCCTATGGTGTTTTAGCTGTTAACCTTTCATCTTGTAGTTAATTAAGGTGAGCATGCATACTATACTTTCTATATGTAGTGTATTTATTTAATATTAACAAAGGAAAAGATTCAGCATTACTTTAATAATGTATCGTGCACATTATTTACTTAATACTTAATTAATTGTATCTGAACACTTTTTCATAAGATTTCATTTAACAGGAACATTAGAAGAACTCCGGATACCTTTAAATTATGAAATTATGGAGCATTGGTTGAATTAGTTCTCATTTGCCCTGCAAAGTAGCTGTGCCCATGGTTCTAAAGAAAGCATGAAAGTGCCTTGTTTTCATTGGGAGTGAAGACAGTGTGCTGAAAAAGGATTTATGACAATGAACTGGTATGTAACAGTATCAGTTAAAAATAGTAAATGATATCTTTAGATAACTTTAATTTCTTAGACATTTGTAATTTGCTTCAGTAGACAACTTTTAAACAACGTTTCAGAAATGGCAGAAGCAGAATAAATGTGGAACAGATCTTTCCATTAGTGTGCATGTTACTGATGTATACTGATTTATTGGATTTAAAAATGGTAACTAATTACTTTTCTTGCCTGTTTATATGTAGATTGTTATCCCACAAATGAGAAGGAATTGCAGTTAATTTTTGCCATAACAATGGGAGGCAATTGGAAATTAATTAATTTGGACGCAACCGGAACAACAAATTATCTGCAGTAGTATCCCTCCTAGATTTGGTTAATTTGCTCATCACACTGGTAGACTTTAGAACGCCACTCTACAATTAATTAAGGTGAGAATACATAACTTGATCAATATTTATTACTCTTTATTAATCTGTTATGAAATTTCTGTTAACAATTAGCTATTGTCAACAGTATAAATTGAGGTTATTGTGCATCAATATCACTTGACAGTTTTTATTTTCCACAGAATAAATTAATATCATTGATTTATCTATGGAGTTTATCTATCTATGGATTTTCTTTTTAACCTTTTGCTGTTGTCGATGTCGTAAATTGACGTGTTATTTGACGTTAATCTATGGTTGTGATGTAAAATGGCGTAAAGTTGTTTGTTTATTTTTTAATTCAGCTATTTTACTTGCTTTTTAATGCGTTTTTATTTGTGTTTCTTAATTAAAAGTGTAATTAAAAGGTTTTTTGTCCATTTATGCAGGTTATGCAATAAATGAGAAAGAGTTAATGTTCAGTATGGTTATACTGAAACAGCCCATGTCTACATGGGTGTGGTCTTTCCTGGATTATATTCTTGATTTGCTGTTTCGTCTTCG